GTTTTGATCATTCTGGTTTCTTGGCATTTCTACGCCGAAGCTCCTATTCTAGATGGTACAACCAAGATTACAGATTTTTAGATCCAACTGATCGATGGATAATCGTTACCTAATGCAAACTATTTTTCAAAAAACATCATCCGTAGGATTCGAACTCTAGACCTGCCGCTTGGTGGGATGATGACTAGACCACTTCACTAGGCCACCACACCCATTACTATACTAAATGATATATAAAAAAAAGATTTCTTTTTTTTAATAACAAAAAAATTTCTTTTATTTTTTATACAAAATGAATAATCTTAAAAAATTTGCTAGCAAACTATATTATTTTGATGATCCAAATCAAATTCCTACCAAATATTGCACTCTGAACATCTGTACAATTTGCAATTTGAATATTGCACTAGATTTTGTAAAAGTGGTAGCTATTTTAGAATGCTATCACTTTTTTTATCTTAACTGCATAGCTACTAGAGATTACTATTCTTGTTAGACTGTTGAGAATAATTCTGTGAATAGTACTAAGCAAGAAACTGCAAATACTCTTATGAGCCTTTTACAAGGCTCCTATAAATTTTTTGAAACTGCAAATACTCTTATAAACCTTTTGCAAAGCTCCTATAAACTTCCTGAAACTTCCAGTACTGAAGTTACATCTAGCCAAGAAGACTAACCATAAAAATCTAAAAAAATTAATCTCAAAAGCAGAAAATTTTTAGATAATTATATAGGGGTTATTAATAAAAACCAAGCAAATTTATCTAATAAATTTGCTTAGTTTCTATTAATGACTCCATATTTTAATCTTTATTTAAATAATTTTACAATATTAATATTTATTATTATTTTTTTTAAAAAAAATAGGTTCAAAACTCTGTATCCAAATCATCTAGATCATCTGAACCTACACAAACTCAGGAATTGGAAGAAAAATCACAGAAATATACAAGTATTTATATTTAGTTATATTTTTTAAAGTTAGTTAATAATTGTTCAGACACACAATGCTATACATTAATCTAATGATAATCAATTTTAATCTTAATTTAGAACCCTTCACATTTTATAACTTCTACTGATATCTCTAAATTATTAGAATTATTTGTTATTAATTCTCAAATTAATCCAGGAATTCGTTACTGCTTTTTTTGCTTTTTTGTTTTATGAGAGAGTTCAGGGTTCTAAATTAAGATTAAAATTGATTATCATTAGATTAATGTATAGCATT